AGAAATTTAAGAACATAGTAGATAAATAACTAATGAGTAAAGTTAAATTAACTTACAGTATTGTCTTTTGAAGCAGATGAAAAAATATATTTTACATACATACGCGTATATTCCTCTTAAAAAGGTATTTTCGTGCTTAACGTCGTATTGTGATACAAATAAAAATGTCCTTATCCATATTTCGATGTGTCAAAATTACCTATTAAGAAAAACAAATTAAGAAGAGTGGTCTCGCACCTCTGATATTTTCATTTGCGAATTGTTTTATCATGTTTATCGCTTGTATAACGGTGAAGAAAACATTGTGAGGAAACCTTCATGTCTTAGAACCTAGCCAGTTATCGAAAAATATGTAAACTCCGCCAACCCGCACTTAGCCAGTGCGGTGGACTATGGCCTGATTCCCCTCGTATTGAAGGGAGGCCCGTGCCCAGCAGTGGGACGTTAAAAAAGGCTGAATACATGATTTATGATGTAGCTTTGTGTACAAAGTTTCAATGATTATCTGCGTAAAAAGAAACACCGTAAGTACGCGAAAGCTCTAGTTTAAATATTTCTTTGACGTCTGGAATACGAAAAAAAGCAAAATGTTGAGTAAGACATCAATTTAAAATAAATTCGATCCCTTTTTCTAGCTTATTGCTCACTAATTGCTCAATTTCGTTGTTAAAAGTAAGTCTCGTAAACCGAACTCTTTTCTATAAAAGCAAAGTTTCGTCAATGCTATCGATAATAGAAGCAGATTTATTTCAACATTGGCCATTCTTTATTTTACTATTTAAATTAAGTTTTCCCTAACAAAATCCATTGGCTATATTACTACCTTTTACTCGTAGAATTTGTGCGCTAAGGTGGTAGTAATGAGTTTAAAAACTTGTAATTAATCAAATTAAATCATTCTTTGGTACTATTTTTTTAGCTACAGCTATGTGGCGGCCACCACTATTTTTATTATACCAGACCACTCGCGTGAACTTAAAACATTGCAATATCCATACATACACTGATACTTGCAACATACAACAGTTGATATCTGGTAGAATATAAAGTGATAGACCTACATGCTCAATGCTGAAGTATGTATATCATCGATAACATTTTTAACCGACTTCAAAAGGAAGCAGTTACTAATTCGGTTTAAGCTTGTAATTTGTATGTACTCGTATATGTTATACAATATATTTTCTAATCGTAAACTCATTTTGTGTAATTAAAAGTCATTTATAATTTACATTTTTTTCAAAATAATCAAAATGTTATCATTAGCTTGAAAGTGCATCTTATCCTACGTGAAAAGTGTTATAGAATCATAAAAAATATTACAGTTACTCCCAAGTGATGAATACTAAAAGTTTTTCTTATAATCAATCCATAATCTATTATTGTTTAACATTTTATCAAAATCGATTCAACAATTTAGCGAGATTGAGCTACAAACATCTTCACAAATTATAATATTTATAATAATAATAGAGCGAAAGTATATCCCTAAAAGGCCTTTGTAACATTTTGGTTAACAGTGGGCGTTGATACGTTATCATATCAGCGTCACGAAAGCCACGAAGAGATCCATTACACGATTGAAACCTTTCAGCTATTTGTTATAGCTGTAATCTCCATAAATATGTAGGCGGAAGATATTTATTAACCAAAAATATCAGTTCAAACGTCAAAATGAAGCTATTAGGTTCAAGTCCTGCACGCACTTCGTGATTGTGACCATGATAGCAAGTGACCATTTAGGTATATGTACCGCAAAAATACGCGACCATTTCATGATCGCGACCATCGGTTAAGAATGTGCATATGGAAATTGTACCTAGACATCGTTATTTACCTCAGAATCTGTGAAAGTTAGAACTTTGATATTTAGGTAAATTATACTTCGCACTTTTATCTTGAATTTCCAGAAAATGCGATTGGTGAAAATTTTCTCGATATTTTTTTTTTTAAATGCATGTTTTGCACACATAGTGCTATTTATCTCAGAAAGAGCGCACTATTTTTTGTAGGGTTTTTCTTTTGTCAGGATACTACTAACATTTATTTGGTGCTCAAAAAAGATGTTATCTGGAAAGTTTTCCGAGAGTTTTTAAAATTGGTGATTTTATAGATTTCGATGTGCGCTTTCCGAATTTCAATTTTGCCACCCCGTATCTTTGTCGCTCGCACCGCCATATTGAAAAAATATCGCCTAATTACAATTTTTTGACAATAACTCTATTCCCATTCATTCCACAAAGCATTTGTATGTATGTATGTATTGAGCCCTTTTTAACGTCTCACTGCTGGGCACAGGCCTCCCTTCAATACGAGGGGGATCAGGCCATAGTCCACCACGCTGGCCAAGTGCGGATTGACGGACTTCACATGTCTTTCGAAAACTTGCTAAGTTCTCTCAGACATACAGGTTTCCTCACGATGTTTTCCTTCACCGTGAGGCAAATGGTAATCATGTTAGAAATAATTCGCACATGAAAATATCAGAGGTGCGAGACCCGGGATTTGAACCCGCTTCACTCGGTTTCCCAAGCTGAAAAAATTATGAACTCCTTTAATTTCTTTAATTTAGAAGGCCTTTCAATTATACATAGCGTCTACTTATATACAACCACTAGCATTGCCCGCCGCTCCGCCTGCGTTCAGATGACCAAAAACCAAATGCTTAGGTTTTACATATTAGTATACTCTTACATTGCAGTTTTTGTATTTTTTCTCAGAAATAAGATATTTTCCCGCGGTAAAAAGTATCCTATATGTTGACCCGGATATTCAGCTATCACCATACCACATTTCATCAAAATCCCTCTAGTGGTTTTTCTCTGATGCGGTTACAGACAGACAGACAAAAAATCTAAAAACTATAGATTCGGCCTCTGTGTCCAGAATAATGTTTATTTCAATAAAATTTTCCAAAAAATATTTAATGTACAGATTCGGGTTAGTTACAATTTTATTATATGTATAGATTTAGCTATCAAAGTACATATGAAAGTGCTAATATTATGATATCCCTGCTACATACGGTCTAAACAAACCTAATCCCACCTATGTACATTGTAGATTGTATCTAAAATGTTTTCATTTTCACAGTTTGTTAATATCACCTCCAGTAGACTAAACTTTGCTATAACAATAAATGGAATTTGGCAACATAAGTTTAGATAGAAAATATGAAAGTTCTAGGTTTAAGCTCCGAGCAGTAAAAGGGCTCTTTTTCATTATTTTTTCATTTTTCTTTCGTGTAAACTAAATTATTTCGCGATAGAGATTACTCCTGCTGGTGTTCATGAGATATCTACGAAATTTTATATTACGTTATAAGAATGTTGGATAGTATCTTTTTCTAATATATTGTTTTATCTGTTCTTGAAGCTAAGACAAAATGTTCTACAATCTCCCCAATTATGACAGTACTAACTACAAAGCATGTTATCTATCTATTAAAGCTTTATTGTTTGAATTAACCGCTTGTACAGAATGAACAATATGTTGTTAGTAATTTTTTTAGCTTTGCTTATTTCGTGCTATATAAGTCATTTAATTATTCAATGTTACCACCGTTACGCCTTTAGATAACAATAGCGACTAACCCTCGCTTCGCTCGGGTTAGTCCCTAGGTGCATTTTAAGTTTTTTGAGCGGAACCCTAATTCTTTTACTGAAATAAAAGTAGCCTAAGTTACGCCTTATGACATCAACTACCTGCCAGTGAAAATCTCGTTAAAATCGGCCCAGCTGTTTCGGAGGTTAGCCGGAACAAACAGACAGACAGACCAACATTTAAAAAATTATGTTTTTTTTATTAATACTGTAGGTATATAATTCCACATGCATTTAGTAAAATGCTGTAATTTTGACATTACAAACAGACAATTTCAATTTTATTTATCTGTATAGATAATTTAAATTTTACCAAACATTTTCATCATCTTATTTCTTCATATCATTTTGAAGACATGTTTTTATATTATGTAACTTAATTTTTCCATATATTTAAATACTTATGTACTTAATATGTATATATTATATTGATGTTTGTCTTATATATTTATTAATGTATGTATATTTTTGAGCATGTATATATGTATATAATATTAATTATACGGTCCTGTTTACGGTTTCATTAATCCTTTCACTAAAGGTTTGAGATTGCTCATAACAATAAGACCGCCTTTGCATGCCTTTTGTTATCTTTATTTCTATCCATTTTTTGTATTATTCTTGTGTGTATCTACAATAAATAAAGTAATTTTATAAATAAAAAATATTTTTTTCATTCCGATATTGGAGATTTACGCAATATAAATGTCTTTTTTCAATAAGTTCTAACTTGTAAGTTATCATAATATATTTATTTTGTCATAGACTAGTTTTAATTTAAAAAAAGTAAATTAAAATATTTGAGAATTACAATTCTTATTTATAAAAAAGTTTTTTTTTGTATATCCTCATGGACCAAATAAAAAAAGTTTTTATTAGAATAGTATAATATATTCACAATATTTAATGGCACGACCCAGCCAAAGTCTAACTAGTTATTATTATCAACGGTATTAACCAAATAAATCTCTTACTTAACTTTCTACACTCTACAAAGGTAAAAAAATACACAAGAGCGAACCTAGCTCGTACATTAAGGGTTTCGTACTAAAAGTGTTTGTGTTATAAAAGTCCCATAATTACTTATAAACAAAATTCATTTATTGACTTGCAAAATAAGTTTAAAATCTCATATTACTCAACAATATCTTTACGAAAATGATTTTCATTGAAAACCATTTTTAAGCTCTATATAAGCTTTCATATGAACTCAGCGACTTTAGACATACATCTATCTCACGCTTAAAAATCTATCTAAAAATACTTGGCGAGTTCACTCAATTTTTAGTGAAGATCGCATCGCATAACATACAAATAATCATATATCTAACATGAGCGCCTTCTATTTAAAACCGTTCTTATTTATTGACATAAATATGTATACAAAATGCCACTTACATCGTAGAAATAGTAGACATTAAGACTATTTTCTGTGCTGTTGTGCCAACTTTGATTTGTAGGTGACAAACTGTAAGGGGATGTGGTCGTCATCTCCCCTTGCTCTTCGATCATAATATCGGGATCCATGATCCTGAAAAGAAAATACATCCATATAATCAACTGTTAAAAATATTTTACTTATTTCTAAATAACTTTAAACTTAAGTACACCGTAACTACACTTTAAATTTTTTTTAAGTTATTATTCCTCCCCTATGATGAAATTTATAATAAAATTTATAATCCTTGATTGCCCATAAATTAAGTACTTATATACTTATGTTTTATAGAGATCATAAAATAAGTAAAATGTAATCACAATAATATCCGTCTACGCGTGAGTTATAATGTCGATACGTATATAAATGTATATAAAATTCTAAGAAATTAATTAAAATTCTAAGAAATCTATTGTTAACTGACACGCCGGCGTGTCCGCGGTCGTGCAGGGATTAACTTTATAATTCAGTGGGAAAAATTTAACACCGGTGAGACATAAGGCACAGGACAGACCGCTTAACGTGCTACGTGCGTGTAAACGCTGTTAAATTCCCAACCACGGACTGCTAAATATTTTGTGTCAGAAACACCCAGTGACTATTTTGGATTGACTCAGGTTTCAAACCTAGGTCTGTACACGTACATGCTAGCCACTATAGGTGACTAGACCAACGAAGCAGTATCTAGCAAGGATTTACTAGTGACAGCGCTGTAAATTCTCTGATTCTATTGGAATACGTAAATTTTGTGGAACTTTTAAAATTGAAATTTTCGTTTCTGGTGGTAATTGGATCTATAACTTGCAGAGTTGTTTTACTACAAATAGATGTTTTATATACTACGATCGCTTATTTGATTTTTATTTATTTTTGCTAATTTATCAGCATAAATTACCAAATTTGCCCAAGAGCAAAATATCTAGTCTGTTATCTTAATATAAAATGAGTAATTCTTGTATTTACCTAAATTTATTTCATATATCTCGGAAACGGCTCTAACGATTTGAATCAAATATTGTATTTAGATAAGGTTTTCTTTTTAAGTTTATCTATATAGGTGTTTTCTTTTTTTTATGCAATTTTGAAAATTATTAATTAATTTAATTTTTTTTAAAAGCTCGGTCGCCCAGGTAATTTTATTTAAGTTTAAGCTTTTTATATATTTTCAATTTTTTATATAAGCTGCAGTAAATTTGCAGTATCTTAAACTTTAAATCCTAAACAAACAGTCCGAGAAAGATAATATAAGACCTTTGCATAAAAAAAATGACAAATGACATTTATCCGTTAACTTTACCGTTACGTTTACATCCATTTCCAGTATCGTTTTTAGGTTTCCGTACCCGAAGGGTGCCAACGAAACCCTATTACTAAGCCTCCGCTGCCCGTCCGTTCGTTTGTCAGAGGGCTGTATCTTATTAACAGTAAAAAGTTGAATTTTTACAGAGTATGTATTTCTATTGCCGCTATAACAACAAATAATAAAAATATGAATGCAAGAAACATTTTTTTAACGTTCGTGATCGATCATCGATGTTAATATACTACATACATATTATGTACATAGAATAAATGTCATATTAATAAAAAGTACATTTACGATGGTACGGAATCCTTCGTGTACGAATTCCATTCGCACTTGACCGATTTTATTTCTTTTTTTCAACACGGACAAGTAACAAGAATGGTTTGTATATACATATCGTTCAGAAAAATGTCCATAAAATTATTTTTAAAACGTCATATAAACATGTCAATAACATCACATCCTTTATTTTATTGCATGCAAAATGGCAATGAATATTAAAATAAATTTTATAAGTCATTCATAATATTGTTAATGTGTACTGTAAAATAATGCATTTTGAATTTTTATGTCCCATTCACATTGAACCTGAATATTCTATTTTAACTCTGGACTATATATACACACACACATATATATATATATATATATATATATATATATATACGTATATATATACATATATATATTATAGTATACTAGCGGACACGACAGACGTTGTCCTGTCTACACGTCTTTAATTTGAAAATTTCAAACTTTTTTTAATAATTTTTTTTGATGAAAATTATTATTCAAATTGTGAATCTAAACCATTCCCAGATCCCCTTGAACACACACAAAAAATTTCATCAAAATCGGTCCAGTCGTTTGAGAGAAGTTCAGTGACATACACACTCACAGAAGAATTATATATATAAAGATAGTTCCGTTTTATCGTTTAGTATAGATTTCTTAGACATGATATATTTTTCCGCAGTTAAAAGTATCCTATATGTTGACCCGAATAACCATTATTATTACTATTTCAATAAGATTATCCAAAAAATATTATATGTACACATTCCTCTCAGTTAAAATTTTATTATATGTATAGATATATAGATATATTATATAAATAAATGCAAAAATGTGTGTTGCTACTTTGTTAGTTTTTTCATATCGCAACAAAGTAGGAGATTGACACTATATTTTGAAGTCTGGAGTGACATAAGCTACTTTACATATTTCTCAATATATTGCATAGTTACCATAAAAATATATTAATTACATATCCATACTAATGTTATAAAAATGTGAAACTGGGTTCGTTTGTTTGTTTGTTTGTCCTTCTTTCACATCGAAACGGAGTGACGGATTGGCGTCATTTTTTGTGTGGAGATAGTTGGAAGGCTGGAGAGTGACATAGGCTACTTTTTGCCGCGGGAGATCATCTCATTCCCACAGGAAAACACGTTATAAGACAACTCAATAATTATTTATGATCAGAATTACTTGAAACTTAGTATTAATGCCCTTAAATACAAATAAACATATACGTGTCTTAACATTTTTCTAAATTCATCCCATATGGGGGTAATATAGGGGATGAAAGTTTGTATGAAACCTATCTTTTTAGAGTTTTTGTTGTAGTTTATCGCGAGAGAAGCCGCGGGTTCTGCTAGTATTCTATATTCTATATAACTGCGCTTGTGTTTGAGCGCTTACTTGTGCATATATATATATATATATATATATATATATATATATATATATATATATATATATCCTGCAAAGTTGATTAATCTCAGTGAGATTGGGCGCCGTGACCGGAATCAGACAGAAGGACATTATGTTATATGTATAACTACTTTGTATACCCATACTTTATATTTATTCTGCTACTAACAAAAACCACTGGAGTATAATTTTGTAATGTTGTTTCATAAACATGTTATAATGAAAGATATATCACATTTCTGTCAGATCATAAAAATATTTTTACAATCTCCGAACTTTGATATGCAATATCTTCAAACAGTTTAAAATTATTTATACTCAGAGTTATAAAATTGTGTAAGATTGGCTTTCACACTTGTTTCCTTTAGGTGGCTAACATAAATTTTCTGAATACATTATTAGTTTTACAAATACTATAATCCTACAAGTATTAATACGGTGCAATTAATCTAAAAACAGCCTGACCATAACATATAAAGTAAAATTTTCCCTCCAGCTCCAAATTGTTCTATACAGTCCACAAACAAAAGTTCTCCTGGTAAAAATTTACACCATTTTGAGCGTCGGTTTGTTATAAATGGTAAAGCGCAAAAAGTGTCATCATATACAAAAATAATTTACAACAAATTTTTAACAAAAATGATTTTGTACATAATCTTGCTAAACTGAACGGTTCCAGAGTTACGGAGGATGTAAGAGTAGCAATTTTTCGTATTTATTCGATCTTTTGGAAAATATTGGTTATTATTAAGGAAACTATTAATAAGTATATGTGTAAGTTAATATATATATATAACGATGGAACATTTTCAAGGACGTTAAGGTTTGGGTCTAATTGCACCGTACTACGAGTATATTAATAATTATGAAATCGTTTTAGTGTCATTTTGTCTTTCGTTTAGAATTTAAAACGGCCTTATAATTTGTAACATGTAAATAATATTACCTTTAAATACATAACTATAAAACATAGTCAAAAAGCGAAATCTGTATATGAAACATTTCTTTTAAAACAATGATTGTTACACATATTGTTTACAGGATATAGACCCCACCCCCCCAACGTGCGTTCACCTTGTCGTGGTGGGGGGGCTCAGTAGTGCCCGGCAACCCAACCGGGCGCGAAGCCAAGAAACGCACAGGGAGGTGGCCCACTTAGGTGGGCGGTAAGAGGTGGCCCTCTTCGGAGGGCGGTGTACCATGCGGGTTGCTCCTGGTACTTCTCTGATAGCAGAGTGGACTGTGGAGCAACCCCGTGGTTGTTGTGGTCTGCTTCGGCAGACCTGCCGTCGGGGCGTCGTAGTTGAATGCGTAAGCGATCCTGCGACGCCCCATTAAGACGGGGGAAGGTTTTGTTGGGTTTTAGTGGGTAGTACTGGCTGTATTACGCCGGTGAGTCCCACACCTCGTGCGTAAATGCATTTCCCAACGTTAAAAAAAAAAAAAAAAAAAAAAAAAAAAAAAAAAAAAAAAAAAAAAAAAGGATATAGACCCCAAAATAATAGCTGTTAAAATTTTATTTGTTTGTCTGTATATCTGTTTGCTTTCCACGCAAATATACTGAGAGGATTTTAACAAAAATTTGTGTATTCCTCCTTATTAACTCGGATTTATATTTATGATTCCTTATATTCCAGGAAAATCTGTTATACCCACAGGAAAACACAATATTATCCTTCATACAACATTTTCAATGCTTTATTACAAAACTTTTAGTAGCAAGATTATAATTAACATATTTAACAATATAGTGCGGTAAAATATCTCAGTTTATGGGATAAAAACTTCCTAAAAACCTGGAAGTCAGTGCCAGCAAATCTTAATACATATATTTCGATGCGTAAAATACATATTTACCTATTAGATATTTATATCTTAAAATATTGTCGACTGGCACCAACTTCGAAAATATATGATTAGGTATCTATATTTACATTTTAGTGCCTAGAAGTCGGTTTTTTTATCTTAAGTTTTTATTCTGTGATGCGGTAACAGACAGACTGACAGACAGACAGACAGACAGACAGACAGACAGACAGACAAAAATTCTAAAAACCATACATTCGG